ACTTATGTGTGTTTTCTCCTTACTTTCATGTCATTCTCACTCAGTCAGCACGCAACATCAGTATGCACAAAGAGCCAAAAAAATCAGATTATATATATATATATATATATATATTATTTTAATCTAAAGATATGTGTGATTGTGTGACTAAATACATATAAAAATATAGAATAATTAATAACAAATATCTAAAAGAATTTTAATATAGACTAACCAATGGTATTAACTAAGGATGAACATATTATCTTAATATAATTAGAAGATAGAAATGATTTTGAGAAAAGATCTTACTGTATTTTCTTTTTTTTCACAGATCTTCCACTTTCTCTCATTTCCTCCTCCCTCCTCACATGTTGCTTGCTATTTATAGGCAAAATTGAAAGTGATAATCATGCTCAAAACGAATGGACTTGAGAAAGTCACATCACCCTATACTCTTCTCTCTTTTTAGCTTACTTCACCAAAAATGTCTAGTCATCATTTTATTTTTTTTATTTTTTTATATTTGTCACATCACACACACTTTTTTTTCCTTTTGTTTTTATTTCCCTTTGTTTTTTTTCTTGTCACATCTTCTTTCTTTTATTTTGGTTCTTCTTTTTTTTTTAGAAAAAAATTGAGAATTAAATAATTAGTATCTTGCTTAGTATTTTGCAAATACAAGAGAACAAATAAATATTTCAAAACTCTTAAAGGAATCCTATATTTATTCTTTATGTATTTATTTATTTTATTATTATTACTACTTGCATATATTTTATTACATTATACCATATCTATTTATTTCTATAATCCTATATGTATGGGATTGTATTTGGAGAGAGAGTGTGTGTATTTATTATTTTTTTAAAAATGGTGTTACATAAACCATAAGGTTTGCACTAAGAGAGGAGAATTACATAAAAATGCCTTAGGTTTACATGTAAATCAATGTTGCCATCATACTACATATAATCCTTGCACCCAAAATTAGAATGCTTGCACTTAAAGCGAGAAGACTTGCACCCTAAGCCAAAAGACTTATACTTGAACTTTGACTTGGGTGTAAGGCTTTTAGCTTAAGGTGCAGGGCTTCTATCTTAAGGTGCAAAGCTTCTGGCTTAAGATGTAAGCATTCTGACTTAGGGTGCAAGCCTTCTGACTTAAGTGTAAGGGTTAAGTGTTGTGTGATGACTACATTGATTTATATATAATCTTTGGGAGTTTCATGTAATTTTGGATTGAGTGCATGGGTTTTGGCTAAGGTGCAAGGCTTCTGGTTTGGGTGCAAGGCTTTTTGGCTTACAGTGCAAGGCTTTTGGCTTTGGTATAAGGGTTCTAATTTAGGGTGCAATGGTTTTGCCTTATGTTATATTAATGATATTTACATGTAATCTATAGTCATTTTTATGTAATTCTTGGTGACTGACAGGGGTTTTCTTTCTATTTGATGGGTTGTAAATTGTTACTTAGTCATGCTTGAGATTTTTCTTCTGTTATTGACTTACATGTAATCTGTAGTTGTTTTCATGTAATTATTGGCAATTGACAGGGCCTTCCTTTCTTTATGATGGGTTTACATGTAATTTGTTAAAAATTACATGTAAATTATTATTCAACCATGCTCACGATTTTTCTCCCCTTATTGATTTACATGTAATCAGCAGTCATTTTCAAGTAATTCTTGGCTACTGATAGGGGCCTCCTTTCTGTGTGATAGATTTACATGTAATCTGTTAGAGATTATATGTAAATTGTTCCTCAGCCATACTCATGAATTTTTCCCCTTATTGATTCACACGGAATTAGTTGTATTTTTCATGTAATTATAGGGGGTAATCACAATGGGTTCTCTCCGTGTATTTTATTTACATATAATCCACAATATATTACATGCAATTGTCACATTAAAAGGTGAGAATTCAATAATTTTACATGAAAGACAACTGAATTTTTAATTTTATATATCACTATGAGCAACTAAAATATGAAAAAAAGAATAATAATTCCATTAGTTTTGGCATGTCATTGTGCAAAGTACAAACCAACAAAAAGATGAACAGCTAATATAGTTACAAGGATTAGAATTACAATAATGTTACAATGCTCCAAAAAAGAAAGGTCCACTATTTTTTGTTGTTATAAAGAATACCTTGTTAAGGACACAAAATTGATTAACACTACACAAAAAGCAAAACACAAGGTAAACTATATATATTTAGTGGCAAACACTGGGGCCACGTTATACATTTCCATGCAGAACACTATTTTTATACATCAACTAGCATTTTATAATTTCTGGTAATCACATCAATTAAGGTTATTTTTTCTCCTAATACAAATATTAAGATATTGAATGCTATCACTTTAGCTCAAGTTTGGACTTCTCCAGTGCTATCTTGGTTGCAAATTGCTCTGCTTCTATCTCTTGATTGAGTGTTCTTGCAATGCTTACTTGCTTTGCTGCAATATTTAAGCTTTCTTCAGCCTCCATCATACTTACAATGATCTCACCAAGATGAGTCTCCATCTTCTTGGTTTCCATCTTACAAGATGTTTGTTAGGATTCTACTCTTTAAAGCATCTCCTTAAGTTAAGGGACCTCCTTTCAAAGGGATTGACTATGCTGCTGAAATGCTTCAAGCAAAGCCTTGGTCTTGGTAAAGTTGTCATTGATGCCAAAAAGTATCAGCTTCTCCTCCTCATAATGTTGAATGTACTCTCCAAAAGAAAGGTCATTTTCAGCAAAATTTTGCACTTTAATTAAGGAAGATATAGAATTGATGAACTCCCAGACATGTTCTCAAAATTCTTTATAGTCAACTCATAAAGTTTTCAATTGATCAAAAGTATCATCTATAGCCTTTCTTTTGGACTTGTAATCAATAGGATTCATGGATTCAAGTTTAAGTAGAAAATCTTTCAAGGCATTTAATAAAATTTGTTTTTGCCTTTATGCTTAGGACCTTGGCTTTCTTTCACTAGCAAGTGATACATTAGTGCTAACAACATTTCTATATCCTCAGAAAAGCAACTAGTTGAAAGTGTCTCATGTTCACCAAGTTTGCTAATTATGAGCTAATTACATTCATTAGAAAGACCAACATGATTAATTTTTTGTGTAATAGAGATGATAGCATTAAAAGATGGGAAAACACCTGTAAATAGGAGATAAGGGGAGCTATGCTAAATAAATCCAAATGAAAAAGGACATGAACTTGTTAGGAAAATTGATCACATTATACTTACAACAACAACAAAAAAAAGCTTAGGTCGAGGGAGTTTTAAGTTTAGAGTTGGATGGAAGAATTCAAGCATACCTAACCAGCCCATTAGATAAGGATTTGCAATAGGCTTTGTAGAAAATAAAGGACAATGTGAATACAAACTCAAGGATATCTCTTCAAAAATCAAAATTGAAAGGACCTAATAAAAGAATTTAAAAAAAAAACCCCACCAAAAGATGCATCAACATTAGTAGATATTTGCATTTAAAACATTTTTTCTTCAAGCACAATAACCAAAAATTGTTGATAGATTAATTATTAATTGTGCTTTATCCTCAACAACTTCCCAAAATTCATGAAGTGTACTATAACTACTTGTTTGAAGAGAAGCAATGTTTGGTTTAACCAACAAAGCATCCTCCCACAAGTAGTAATTGCAAGCTACATGGTCCTGTTTGAAAATATATTCTTTTAATTACATAGAAGTGAATGATGTTATTGTGCATCAAACCTACAGAAGGGAGAATTCATTCAATAAATTATTATGAAGCAATATAAATTATTCACATAGCATACCCCTTCCATTGGGCAAGCAAATAAATAGTGATGCTCATTTTCACCAATGTTTGCTCCACTTAGGTCATTATTTGCTCCACTGTCGACTAACCACTAGCACTCTGAAGTAGCTCGAAACTCGTTTCTAAAGAGTCATCCATCACAAGTCATCTAATTAGGGCACCGTATGAAGAGATAGGGTTATCTTTCTTGAAGCTCATCGCTCACAACCACTCACAGCTCACATTGCTGTTGATAGTCTGTCAAAAACATCCCTCGTCGTCTTCTTTCGTTCAACTTGCACAAAGAATCCAAGCACAGAGTACTCTTCGTTTTCAAATTGCCTTGTTAAAACAAGGGCATTTTGGTCCAATTAGAATTTGTTAAATGAATAAAATAAAATATAAAGTCTGGTCCTTCAAAAACATTTGGTCCCTAGGACCAATTTTCTTTCCAACCTAGTCCTTTTCACCAATTCTTCCATAATAAAGTCATATTCTTGATTTTTATTTAAAGTTCTTCCAAAATAAAACCATGACTGCGATATTCCCATGGTGTCGGAACAGAGATGCAGGCCAGTAGTAGTTTATGGAATTAATGCAAAATTGGCACGTGCGTGTTTGATTCACTACTTAAAAAATTTTTAAAGTATGACAATCAATTAAAGTAACATTTGCATTGATGGATTTAGACTTGAGTGATGGATTTAAAATTTTTTATTTGAATAATTTAAAAAATGTTAAATGAAAAAAAAGAGATAAATTAAAGTTCAAAACAAAAATAAAAAATAAAAAATGATAAATTTATTTCTATTTTTTAATTGATATCAATGATAAAAATATAAAGAGAATAAAATATTTAAAATAATTATAATTTCAAATGATTGGAGTGTATAGAAAATTTAAAATTACAAAGAAATTATAATTTGAAATGAATTTGAATTTGAAGAAAATTTAATCTTATAAATTTTTATATATCTAAATTCAAAAAATTGGTTGAAATTTAAGGTTTCATTAATCCAAACACAGTAATTAGAATATCATAACTGTTTTTTCAGATTAGAATAATAAGTTTTTCATATTTCATAAAAAGTTCTGTGTAAGCATTTATAAATTGGTGTCAATGCATCGTTATCTCGTCCACTAGCTAACTTTACGATTGATGAACGATGAAAATTGAAAAGCAACGAGTGGTAGTGGCTCACTCGGGTGATTCGCAAGGTCTGAGAGCTTTTGGAACTTTCGGAAGTTTTTCATATTTTCTTAGATGAAGCTTCCATTCTGGGGAACTTTTGGAAGTTTTCACAAAGCAAAAGGCAAATAGGTAGTGGCTCACTCGGACGATTCGCAAGGTCTGGGAGTTGAGAACCCTGAAATTTTGGAGAAATGCGAGAAATCAAAAGAAGTCAGAAAGCCATCACTTCGATTAACGGCTTTTCGCCCAATCAAAGGTCTTCGCTATCAAACACCAGTCAGATGAATGGCTCTGCGCCCAATTGAAGGTCTTCGCTAACGATTTCTGCATTGTCGCACGAGATATCCACCAACAATACAGATTTTCATACGAGTTCCTTACAAGATCATTAGAGAAAAACAAATATGGGTTAGGGTCAAATTCACAGGTGTATATTTTACAGACAAATAAAAAAAAAAGGGTAACTTGAAAATTGGAGGAAACATAGCAAACTCACCTCAGCGTCGAACACAAGAAGGTCAAAGGACCTAAGACGCTTAGGATATCCATAATCCACCTCAAAATACTCACCTGGGTTTGTGCAGCTGTAGATTCGGTCTACCTTCGCTAGTATACCCCAATCACATTTACTTGGATTAGTGGAGGACAGTAGGTCGAAGTTAGTGTTCTCTGAAGCCACTAGTTGCCTTGACTTAAGTTAGCCAAACACGAACGGACACTGTAGATTTTAATGTACCTGAATCTCTCGCTTATTCCGACAGGTCCACCTAAATAGAGCGAAACCAAGAAGGGGTTCTTCAGCAAACACCGTGCACCCTGCAGACATGTCAAGCGGAAAGCAAGAATGAGGATATTTAAAAGTCTTCTCCAATCAAACACGATTCTAAACCCCAGCTCGAAGAAAATAAAGGATGGAAAATTACCAGGTGACAAAAGTAGGACACCTTCTTCAGACGGTAAATGTGAAGCCGGATGAGCACCACAACAGCGCACTGGACAACGTTTATCCTCTCTGAATTCAAATGAGCCGATGGACTCGGCTCCTCTGGTTTTCATTTAAGGTAAAAGCTTAATCTGATCTGTTCAAATTAAATTTGCATCATTTAAATTTAATTTTTTTATTTTTTATTTATATTTTTAAAATAAAAAATATATAAAATTGTAAATTTTTAATAAATGTATTTATCAATTTGACAGTTCAAATTTAATATAGATGATCTAAAATTAATATTAAATTTTTTTAATAAATTTATTATTTTGTTCAAAATATATTTATATTGTTCAGAATATATAATTAATTTAAATTTTTTATATTAAATTTGGAGCGTTTATATTAAATATAAACTATCAGATTGATTAATATATTTATTAAAAAAATTTTATAATTTTTATATTTTTTTAATTTATAAATATAAATAAAAAATAAAAATAAAATTATTAAATATGAACCGTTTAAATTAAATTTAAACAGTTTAGATTTTTATCTTCTTCAAAAGAGTGGGAGAGGAGGTTTTATTCAAAGGAGGGAAGCCAACTCTTGAGTAGAGTTAGTAAACGGGCGGGCCTAGCCCATATGGGCTCGGCCCTTATGGGCCTAGGTCCTAAAGCCCGGTTACCTTAATTTTATCCTAAAATTGAAATTCGGCCCTTATTCAAAGGGCTCAAGACCGGGCTCATAAGTCCTGATAGGAATAAAATGAAATTCAACATTAAAATTTACTTAGAATATTTTAAAATTTAACATACACCCAACTAAAGTCTCACATAATCTAAAAAATAAACAAAAAATTTAAAAGTCCAAATAAGATGAAGGCAAACATCATCATCAATCCTAATCAAGATCTCCCTCATCTTCATCCACAAATAAAATATTGGAACCTTCAGATGTAGGTCCACTCATGGAAGATAGAGGCGGAGACTCAATATCAACTATTTCTACAGCTTCTTCATCATCACCTACAATAATTAGCAATTAAATTGTGTCATTATGAAATATATATCTATATATATATATCACAAGATAAAAGATAAAAATTATCATAAAATGGCACAAAACCATTCAACCAATTGGGGGTACAAATCAATGCTTGCACATTATCTGGAAGGAGGCGGCAACGATACTTTGTGAGAACATGGGAGCCGATGCTAAATGTCGATTCACTAGCTATTATAGTGATCGGAATACTTAGAACATCACATGCCATCCTTGAAAGATTGGAAAATCGTTGTTGATTAGTCTTCCACTAATGCAACATATCTAACTCTGGAAACTGGTGACCATCAAGGGAAGCTTCTTCCAAATAATAATTTAATTCAGATTTTCTAATGGAAGAAGTATCTCTACTCTTGAAATTAAGGAAGTTCTACATATAAAAAAAATCCAAGTGTATCAAATAAGAAATTATAATTTATATACTAACAACAATGAGATAAAAACTTACACCATAAGCTTGAGTCCAACACATGGTTGGTTCCCTCTTCTTCTCTAACATCCTTCCACTAGTGCTTGAGCTTGGTTGACTTTGTGTTGGAGTTGAACTTAGTATAAGATTAATGGAAGATCTACCCATTTATTTATATTGATCAAACATACAATACAACTTCTGCTTGATATTATCAACTTTTATGAAGTAATTTACAGGATCAATTAGTGAGTAAAAATACTTAATCACTTCAAGCTTTGCTCGTGGATCAAAAATACTTCCAATAGAAAGGATTACACTATAGTCACTCCAATACTTGTCAAATTTCTCCTTCATTCTAACTGCCATACTAGAAATTACAGGATCACGATTGCTAGTAGCTTCATTCAACAAAATCTCAATTTTTGAGGTAGGATAGGATGTGCCAAAAATCAAAGTTGTAATAATTGTAAATGGCTGTAAGAAAGTGCACATTTCCTTTGCTCTCCTCCATTCTTCATTTGACAAGTAATGTTTAAAGCTAGTGTCACGACAAGACATGCAAACAAAAGCTCTTTTATATCTTATTTCACTTTCAAGCATATCATAAGTGGAATTCCATCTAGTAGGCACATCTAATAGCAATCCTATTGAGGTATCAATACCTCCAACTTGCTGAATACATTTCCTGAAAGTTTTCATCTTGGACTCTGACATCTTGACATACTTAATGCTTTCTTGAATTTTATTTATTGCAATATTTGTTACCTTCAAACCTTCTTGAACTATCAAGTTCAAGATATGTGCACAACATCTCACATGAAAAAATTTCCCATCACAAATCAAATTGTTTTGCAAAACTAACTTCTTTTTCAAGATTTCAGCCATACAATCATTTGCAGATGCATTGTCTAAAGTAATTGTAAAAACTTTCTTTTCAATCCCCCATTCATACAAGCACTCAAAAACTTTGCTAGCCAATTCATGTCCAGAATGTGGAGGCTCCATCTTACAAAAAGAAAGTATTCTACTATTAAGTTTTCAATTTTAATCTACAAAATGTGCCGTCAAGCAAATATAACCTTCAGATGTTACAACAGTCTAACAATCAGAGGTCAAACATATTTTACTAGGACTCTTTGACAAAATCACTTTCAACTTCTCTTTCTGTAACTCATAAAATCTCCTAACATCTAACATAGTAGTTTTTCTACTCATAACCTTAATATTAGGATTACATTCCTTAAGCAACTGCCTTAAAAGAGGAAATTCAATAAAAGAATATGGCAAATCATGTTCAATAATCAACATCCCTACCAATTCCCGAATACACGGATTATTGATTTGTCTAGGTCTAACATTGCCTTCATTATCTAACATCATCAAGCCTATGTTATGAAACTTTGGAAGAGCCACACACTGTTTAATATGTCGACTTAGATGTGAAGTACCATGATTTCCACCACATGCTAACAAAGTACCACAACCATTACACTTTGCCTTTATTGCTCCTTCTTCATTAACCACTTTAAAAAAAAGATTTCCAAACATCTGAGGTACAACTTTTAGCTTTCTTAGGTGGTTTCATGTTGAATGTAGTAAATTGGGAGGGAGTTGATTCTCTATTACTTTCCTCCTCAACTAACTTCTTATTAGTTTCACTACTCTTGGCATTAGATGACGACATACTGCAAACAAACATAAGTCATATAATCAAGAAATCAAGGACAGTCGACAAAACATTAACTAGGAATTCAAAGACAGAGCTATAACCAGGAATTATTACAACATAACCTGCCTAGGCACATTTGAAGTTATTACACATTAATTAGGAATTACAACATAATCGCCAGGCATATAATCAAGAAATCGAGAGAGACCGTTAACCAGATAGAAACTGAGATAGAAGCAGATTCGAAAAAAAATAGTTTGCAGACAGATAGAAACCGAGGCATGCAGCAAACTAAATGAAGCTATTCTTTCAAGTTGAAATCAAGAATCAGAAGTAGATCTGAATCAAAATCAATGTTGAAATCGTACAACAGCATTCATGAATTAGAATCAGAAGCTGAAATCAAAATAGAGGCAAACCTGAAATTGAGAATCAAAAGCGAAAATTTGAGAATCGAAGGCCACACTGCCAAGGTCGAGAAGTGAAAACTTGAGAAGAGATAAACCAAAGGGTTAAGAAGTAGAGACTTAGACGGTCGATTGACGATGGCTCGAGGAGGAGAGACTGAGAGAAGAGAGAAATTTGAGATCAAGAGTAGAGTGAGCGTGAGGCTGTGAGCGTAGAATACCAAGTCCTAAGAATCTTGATTCAAGAGTTGAGACCGAAAGAGGGAGAGGGCGTCTGAGACTTGGAGCTTGCCGGTTGATCTGCTGTTTGTGTGAGCGTAAGGCCATAAGCGTGATTGCGTGAGACGGTGAGAGACTGAGAGCAATTTTCACACTGTGAGTCTAAGCTGAGGGTTTTCATTTTCTCTAATGACTGTGTCCGTGACTCCGTGTGCTATGCCTGTGCAGTGCGTTTTGAGAGAGGTAAGGGAAAAAAAATTAAAACGGGCTTCACGGGCCGCCCGAGCCCGAGCCCATTTTTTAAGGGCTTAAAAGGGCTGGCTTCAAAGCCCGGTTACCTCAAAAAATGTCAAATTTTCAAATCCGAACCCTTATTAAAATGGGTTTAAATGGGCAGCCCGTCAATCCGGCCCTTATTCTCGACTCTACTTCTGAGCCATAAGGGAGAATGCATTATCTATGGGGCAGGAATACCAAGTTTTTTAGCTTTGAGATGACAACCACATGACCATTGGGTTTTGGCCATAGCCACCGGCATCTCAATTTTCATCCACAGAACCCATACTTCCTTGGTTGGAAAGGAAGGATTCACGCAGCCAATGAGAAGCTTTCATCTTGTACATGAAACCATGTGACTTGAAATTTGTTTTTTATTGCTTTGATCTCACCTCCGTGCAGCGCATCACGGAGCCATAGGTGAGCCGGCACTGTTCATCGGGAGTAGTTTTGTTGTTCATCCGGGGTATTTTTGTTGTATAAATTTAGGTGATATATTGATATTAAAAATATTATAGACTTGTATTCCTTCATTTAAAAATACAAATTATTTTTAATCAAATCTCATCTTTAATTAAAAATATCCTATAATAAATATTAAGTCATTTATCAAAAGGGCATTTTAAAAAAAAACAATAATTATAACTCAAAAAATTTAAAAATATCTTATATTTTTTAATATTTAACTCTTTAAAAAATACCTTACATTTTTTTAAGGAAGTAAGTTTTTCTTTTCTTTTGCCAACTTTATAGTCTATAGACTTGTATTACATGCACCACCATAAAAATATTTATAAAAGCCGACCTATATTTGATTTATACAGCGTCTACAAATACACACGGAACTGGCCATTCATTAATTTCTTAAATTCATTTATGATAAAAAGTTGAAGTTTACATTTTTTAACATGTTCATGGAACAGTTTTAAAAAAAATAAAATTTATATTTTTTGCCATATAAATAATAAATAGGTATTGAAATATACATACTCCATAGAAAAATATGATTAGAATTCTCTATCCCGTAGAAAAATAACTAATAAAATAAATTGAATCTGCTTGCAGACGATCTTGACCTGGATATCCGCTGTGTCTTGTCTATTGTTGTATTTAGTCGAATCAAAGGCTGAGTCATTCTCCTGGATAACCAAAAAAAAAAAAAACAGAGAGAGAGTCTGAATTATGCTTTAATTACGTTGAACATAAAGAAATTGTGTTGATGGAAATATTCTTTTAAATCCAGGGACAAAGAAGAAAGGTTCATTTAAAGAGCAAACACAAATGGGCTTAATTTGTTTATATGGGCCAGAACTTGATCCGAAAGAAATAACACTTGCTGGGCTGAAATGCGATTAAATTAGGATTTGAATTTAATGAATATCTTGCATACACTGACTTAATGAGTATATTAATTATAATTATTAAATTTCATTAATACGAAAAAATTATTAATAAATATTTTTCTTTAAAAACTTAAAACAATCAACACGACATGAGTACTCCTTATTTATGATATCTCCTTAAAAAATTTCAGATTTTATATATTTTTAATTTTAATATTATATGACAAAATCATTCATAACCGTTTGATTAAGCGAAATCATTGTCGATTAAATCAATTTATTGTTATCGTGTCACATGATATATTTATTAAGCTAATGGTTTTGATCCACATCATATTTGGGCAACACGTAACAAGATTGAAAGCCAGGCCCAGTTTATACTTATCTAATTTCCGATACTGCCTTCAACTTCCTGCTTTCAATTCTCAAAGCCTGCAGCCTGGTGTAAGTCAGTTTTTCCATGTGACTATTACTCACGTGTGATTATATTTATGCTGATGTGTACATGTTCGGTAGTGTGGTTATTCAGGGTCTCAGTGCTCAGCACCAAAACACTGTCATTTGACAACGTTAAATTTTCTTTTTGTTTTTTTTAACCACAAATTCATTATAATAATAAATAAATATTATAAAATTATTATTTTAATATTTAATAAATAAATAAATATTAAGATGTTAAAATTGGACCTAAATAGTTAAACTCACTAAAATTTGACTTGAACAGTTCATAGATAAATTTTGGTCTAGACAATTTAGAACTGCACTAAAAAAAATTAGAATTGTAACTATAAATTTTTTTTATTTTATTGATTTTGCACAATTTTCTATCTATGAGAGGTAATGCCATTTAAGATATGGTCGGGTATTAAATATAAGTATTTTTTAACAGGAATTCAAACATGGATTTGTTATAGTGTAAGAAACTAACTCATTTTATTTGACTCAACCCTTATTTTAAACCCTTCAGATCATTTTTAAATTTTTTTTACTATAGTTCTAAACTGTTCAAACTAATATTTTTATTTAAACTATTCAGGTTTAATTTTAACATCTTAATATTTATTTATTTATTAATATTAAAATAATAATTTTATAATATTTATTTATTATTATTATAATGAATTTGTAGTTTAAAAAAAAAAATTAACACTGCCAAACGGCCGTGTTTTGGTGCTGAGCACCATCCGAAACCAAATCCGGTGATCCAGTTGTGCCAGCTTGTATTGCCCTTGGCTATAAATACATGGTCTCCTGCTCAGCGGACAACTTGAACCATTGAGTAATAGACTTTAGCAATTATGCTTGATCTTTTGGACGGTTGTGCTTGGTTTGTCCTTACAAAGAGGATAATAGTCACCATTATTGACAGAATTTTTAACAACAATTATTTTAAAATTTTAATATGATTTATTAAGGAGAAGTAGAAAAACAAAAACAAAAAAAATGAAAAGTAAATTTTCAATATTAATTATTTATCCAATGTTAAAAATTACTTTCATTATTGATTATATAACTAATCGATGTTGAAAATTCACAAAAAAACAATTGAGTTTTTTTTTAAAAAGATATTTTTAACAACAATTATTTAAAACTCATTGTTAAAAATATTTTTAACCATTGTTATTCTATGGATAACTATTGTGAAAAGTCATTTTCAACAATAATGTTTTTATAATAATCATTGTTAAAAGGTTTTTAACAATGGTTTTCGAACAACCATTGTTAAAAGTTTATTTTTAAAAAAATTATTCTTTTTCTATACATTTAGAACTTAAAACCTATAAATTATATAAATTATACAATAAGTATAAATAGCCAACTAGTAGAACCACAATCACTATATAACAAGTTACAACAATACCATATATTTGTTCAACTATAAAAAAAATGTGAAATTTTGTTCAACCTCACGTTGAAACCTATACGTGACAATATGGGGTGAAGACAAAGGGTGACAAGAAGCCATGACCCCTCATAACTTTTTAATTTTTTTTAGTGAAATATAGGAGTTATATATTTTTGGCTCCCTCTGTATTATAAAAGTCTTATGACACTAAATCAGATTCTCATTTCAATTTTAAATACAATCTTTTATACATGTATAATGCAATTATTTAGTAAACTAAAGATATAATTGCCATGGTATCTACTTATTTTAAAAAATATGATACTACATATACCCTTGAAGCATTAATTTCGTTTGATTTTTTTTCATTTTATATTTAATAAAACAATTATGAAAATTATTACCAACAAATTTTGTCAAGCACTACAATAAAAATCATAAGATATATTAAATGTTATTTTCTTGATATCTACTACTCCCTTCATTCAAAAATGTAAGGCATTTTTTTAGGAGTTAGATGTTCAAAAATGTAAGGCATTTTTAGTATTTCGGGGTATAATTATTGTCTTTTTTCTACAAGTGCCCCCATTGATAATAATTTTATATTTATTATAGGAGTTAATAGGATTATATGGGGGTGAGATTTTGTTAAAAATGCCTTATATTTTTGAACAGAGGAAGTATAAAATTACTTTTTTAATAGTTAAAATTTTTTATAATTTTATAAATTTACCATCCAAATTTATTTTGAATAGTTCAAATTTAAGAATTTAACTTACAAATTTTATTAAAGTACCAGTTAGGATATTATTTTTATTTTTATTATTATATTCATAAAAATAAAAGTTGTAAAAAATTAATATTAAATCTAAATAATTTAGGGTATATTTGGATGGTCATTTTATAAAAATTATAAAAAAATTAATATTAAATTAGATTGTCGAAAATAAATTTTCACTATACCAATTGACAATAATCTATTTATTAAAAATTATAAAATAAAAATTTAAAAATTTAAAAAAATTAAATTTAGAATGTCTAAATCTTTATTATAATGACAAGCACCGAGCACCAAAGGAGGACCCTTGTCCTAATGTTCCACGATAGGATCCATGTCTTGTCTGGCTGGCAAGCCATAGCCCCAGGCCTACTTTCTAAAGTTATATTCCCCTTAATAATTCTTAATTCATTCATAGTGCTGAAAACAAAAGAGAATAATTATTAATTTAACGTTCCTTTTATAAAATCATCATGCCCTTTTTGATTGTGTTTGTAGTGAACAACAAATATCAAGCATGGTAGAGATGTTGAGTTTCAATTAATAACAAAAAGGTCTCGAGCTCTTTTATCCTAGTTCACTCAAATGTAAAAGATACACAATGCTTGGTAGAACAAGTGTTTTTTTGATTTTTATTGAAATGTGAAAAAGGTTACAAGTCTAAATTGAAAGCAAAAACTAGCTGATAAAACTAAAAGCTACAGGTGCAAAATGCAAGTCTTTAGTTGAGTGTTGATTGTCTTTCTTCTGTGTCTTCGTATTATATTTATAGTGTCAAAGTGGTGGTAGTTATTCCCTTAAGACCTAGAACGTTTTGTCAAAGAATTAGGGATCCCGCGGACTTGTAGCATGGTCTTTATTTTGAGTTTTCCATTTTTGGTAATCAGCCCATCTCACTAAGATACTTGGACACAATGTTTGTAGATTCTGTAATCACTTGGGATTATGTCTTTATGTGCCAACGATCCAATATTTGTAACTGGCAGGATTTCGGCATGTTTATTCCATCGTGGCCTTCTATTGAGCTTGGGACTAGCCCTTTTGTTCAGATTAAGCCTGACTCTTCAGTCACTCAATCCAACTAGCTTTGTGACCTATTTGAGCGATGTTTCATATTTTATCCCAAACAATGCCCCCTGCATGCTAGTGGCTGATAACATAAGCCATGTGGCATGTTTGAAAAAAAAATAAAATATCGCTTCGTCTCTAAGCGCCCTTTGTTAATATAAACTTATTTCCATTTCTGGTCACTTCTCTTGCCCTTTTTTCCATTTCTTGATATTCAAGCTTTTGCATCCCTTGCTTCAATCTCCAATTTCCCTTTTACTCACAAATGGCTTCCTCCGCTGCTATCGCTGCTTCTATTGTTGCTCTATCTACCACATCTACTGAGAGTCTGCCTGACTCCCTGGCCACCATTCAACATCCTGTCGCTTCACTGGGAGGACTGATGATGGTATGTATCTAATTGCTAAAAATCCCTATCTCCCCCAGACTAGGTCCTCATTTTGATATTTCTCTATTTTCATTATAGGAGGATTCCTCGTTCCATGATTTTGTTGCTTTTTGGTAAGCTCTTCACTTTTTGTTTGGCCCTTCTATTTTATTAGGGATAAAAATACTGACTATTCATTATTTTTTTAGTATTTCTCCCTGGAGTTTCTAAATCTCCAATAAAAGTGACATCAGGTATTTGACCCTTTCTCTTGACTTGTTCGAAGTAACTGCCTTACCCAGCTAAATCCATGGCCACTTACCTCAGTTCGTAACTTAATTCTAGCTTGGACAAATTCACCCTTTCTAGAGTCATCTTGTTGGAAGCTTTAGAATTGGCCCCGATCTCCTCACACTTGTGTCAACTGGGTGAAACGTTTTGAAGCAATTTCATGAGTAATAGTGAAGGGAAATGGGTCTTTATGATTTCATTCAAATTTCTCTGGCCAACATTGACATTCTGATTAGCCTCTTGATGGCCCTTCTCAATTTTTGGGCACTAGGTTGTAACGCCTTTATCTTCGAGTTAAGTCCCATGTTAATAATATTATAGGACATCTTCATGTGCCTGAGGCTGCCAATCATCAGGGAAAAGAATTTCTAAGCGATCCTTGAGGAGCATGACTCCTATGTTACCCTCCATACCGATCTGGAGAACAAAATTAGGGGCATTGGCTCCTATACGAAGATCATAGAGTTGTTCTCCAAGAAGCCAGCTGACGAGCCCGTCACCCCTACGAAGCACCTAGTTTTCATTTAGATCCTGTAGAGCCAATGTATCCCGAGGGAAAGGGAGCTCGTGAAACTATACCTATAGATCACCTAGTCCCTCCACTATGGCAACTAAATAGCCCTAGGGACTATGTTTTTATGCCATCTATATGACGGCATAAGGGAATCCCTAATGAAGAAGCCTTTCAATAACTTCGATGGACCTATCTAGTTTCTGAAGATGTGGACGACCATATACTTCCCTCTACTCTAGGGGAACCTTTCCCCAAAGATTCCCATACCAACTACCCCTTCATTTGTCTCTCAGGTGGTTATCCTCTGATTCAGTCAAAGAACTTTTTTTGAGTTTTTCAATCAGCAGAGCTAGTCCTTATAAAGGTCTTTGAAGCCATTTAACATTCTAGACTGCCACCTCCCCACCTGGTACAAACATCTAGTAGATTGAAAGAATAAGCCCACTTCCTGTTAAGGGATGAGGTCTTCCTCTTAACCACCACTCCTAAGAAGATGTGGCTACCATACACCGACTCCTCCTCTAAATCTCTAAAGGTCTATTTGGAATCTTATCACCCCCAATTGGTAGTGGATCAATTTAGGTTGAGCCAGTGTATCCTTCAGGGGTTGTCCCATCAAATTAGCATGGAGCTATTAGACCAGGAAGCTATCAACCAAATAGCCATTCCACACACTGCTTAAAAGCAGTGTAAGGTAGAACTTATAGATAGGGATGCCTGCCTCTATTTTAATAAATGGTGGCCCCAGCACTTTAGGCTCATAATAAGGAGCCATACCAGTAAGTATTGTTTCTTGTGTTCATTCTTTTTTACCTTTAAACATAGTCTAACCTATTTTGACTATTTTGTAGGCCGTGATTAGATACAATCACATGTACTAATAAACTTCTTGAGGGAAAACCCCCTGCTTCGAAGACCCAAACGGCTCCCTTATTGAGGACCATCATTTAAGGGATGGAGAAGGATGCTGCATCCTCTCACGTCTCAGCCCTAAAAAAGCTTGAGGATAAGAAGAGTCACTCTTTAAGTCACCCAAACAAAGGAGATGGACCTGATAACAGGAAGCAGGCTCTGTCTCTTTTGCCTGACTCTAAGAGGAGAAAGAAGACAACACCTCTTGTCAATAACTAACCTTCCTCTATTCCTTCTCCTACCGGACCTACTCCCTAGAAGGGAAGGCACATGCACAAGTGCCAGCAGACTCTTTCAATATAATCTAACGATGGTAGGGTGAGTCCCCTTTATCATAGAGGGGTGGAAGCTTAGATCTCAGACCTCCTGGTGATTACTTCTACTACCACATCTGAGCCCATGCCGGAGACTCAGGTGGTCATCTCTTCTGCCTCTACTATCCCTTCAATAACTCTGGATTCCTAGGGGGTTACCTCTACTATAATCCTTGAGTCAATCCTTGAGGTTCCATTAGAGTTTGCTCGGGATATGGCCTGAGAGGTGATGGAAAACATAAAATACCTTGAGGTTGCCACTGAGGTTTGAGAAGCCATATCTGCTATGGCCCTAGATGGTACTAGTGACCTAGAAAGCCTCAAGGCTGCTATTGGTTAGGAGGACGTTTCCATTGCAACCCTGAGTGGTGAGTTGGGACTTGGGGCTGATAAAGTTTAGGAGATTGCCTCTATTAAGGCCCCAAAGGTGGTTTCTCCCATCAACTCGGTGCCTCCCATTAGCTTGATGCCTCCCTTTATCTCGACGGGTACCATTGTAGTTGAGGAATCTAAAAGGTCCTTAGAAGGTCTCAGGCAGCGACTATCATCAATCCTATAACTATTGGCATTTTAACTCTGGAGAACACGATAGTTGCTTTGGCCTCCACTCAAGGTGTCTTAATGCAGTGCTAGACTGATTCCTTTACACCTGTGGGCCATATAGAAAAGGCCCTAAGATCTGTTGCATAATCTGCTCGTACCCCCCAGTCCACGGGAAAGGACAAAGCACTCATAGACCTGAGTCAAGTATCAGCCTGTTATGCTCTTTTCTTCTGTCTATTTTCCTTATATTCTCATTACTAACGTGCTTCTCCTTTTTTTAGCTTGCTTGAATAGAGGCAGTCCCTACTAACATCCTCCTAGCCCGCATCTGCATCTTTGAAATGGACGTGGTGTTTGATACTTAGAGGGTCATTTAGTTTCAACTTAGTCGAGACTCACTCTTGATTCTTGAACATATTTACAAGGAGATGATTTGGGCCCTTGAGGTTATGGATAAAGTAGTCTTTATGCCTGAGCTGGTATTCATCTGCACCCAAGTCTCAGTATGTTATGGCATCATCAACCACTGTCGCAAGGAGCTCTAACTCCTTTTAAACTACCTAACAAATAATTAGTCTATAAGGGATGAGTACCTTGCTACCAAGACCCGGACGACTGCTGCCAATGATTAGGTCTAGGAGATCGCTCCTTGCATGGATCATTTTCATGCACTATGGGCTGAGGTGGCTGATTTAAGGCGTCAGCTAGCAATTGTTAAAGAAGAGCTAGCATGGGTTGAGGTTGAAGAGGGTCTCACAAAGTCTGAGCTAGAGGTTATGAATAAAGCCTTAGATCATACACGGGCTATCTGTAACATCCAAAAAATTTTAACGCAGATTTATTAATTTAATTAGGGTAGTTAGTGAGTTAATGAGGTGTGTGGCTAGAAAGGCTTAACTTTTATGATTTTTTCCTTAGAAGTGGGTTGAATCGATGGCGGGCCACCCGGGCAAGGAAAGAGAATGAAAAAGTGAAGAGTTGTGTTCTGTGCCACACGCCATGGCATGTGGTTGGTTCGCGAGGTGCACGGACACAATTTAAACGTAATGGGCTCCTTTATGCCATGCGCTATGGTGGAAGGCAGCGTGCGCTACAACGCACGATAAAAAATAAAATAAATTAGCTCGTGAGCTACGTGAAAATAGAAGAGAAAATGAGGAGGGAAACGAAGAGCTCAATTTTAGCTCTGCTAGAACATGACTTTTAGTCCTATTATTGATAGATTGAAGCTCCCAAACACCCAAGGTAAGATCATGGTGCCTTCTTCTTCCTTTCTCTCCCTTATTTATGATTATTTATGGTAGGGTTTGAGTTGGGAGATGGATTTTTGGTCTATAAGAGTATGGGTCCAATTCCATTGGTGAAAATGAGGTTAATGGGAGTGATTTAATGTATTAGAACACCACATTGATGATCTTGGAAGTGGTTGGTCTATGGGAGCATTGAATGTCTGAAAATTAGTATTTATGAGGTAGTTGGGAGAGGTTAATGTGCATTAATGATGGTTTGAGGTATTATTAATGATAATGTGCATTAATGAAATCTAATGAGCCTATTTGGTATGAATGGATAATGATTATGAGTTGGTAAAATAGCGTATGAGGAGTTTTATGTTGATAAAGCTTAAAGAGCTAGATGATGATGATATCCTTGTGATTTGGTTGTAGTGAGGTTCGTCTTGGCACCTTTCGAGCTTGTTAAAGCTTTGGAAAGTTGAAATAGTGAGGGGTAAAACTTTGACCTCTCAAAGGTTTAAGGTAACAAGAGGAAACTTAATTTTTATAGTTGTATGTTAACTGCATTGTGAAATGTGATTTATGGTTAATTTAATGATGCATGTGAAACAGTTTCTTTGAAAGAAAACCTTGATTTTTTTTCGCTCTTGATGTTTTATGAAATTAATTGTGAATTATGAAGAGGGGTGGAGAATTGTGATGAAATATGTGTTAAAGTGTAGAGCATTTGTATTATGTGAGTTCATGTGTTGAGAAAAGATTGTTAAAATACATATTATGTATTAAATGTACATAGCATGATCATTGGCGGGAGTTCACCTAAGGAGAGAGTAGATTGGTTGAAATTCAAGTGGTATTAGCAATGACCGCTGGAATCAAGAACTAGCCTTGGTACCGACCGTTGGAATCAGGAGGTAGCCCTTGTCCCATGGTTGTTCCGGGACTGTCCTACTTATTCTATAAGGGACTTGAACCAAACTAATCTCCACCGGTTCATGAGGAAGCTAGATTAGGGGTATGGCACCCTATGGTTGTTAATATTAGGGAAAATCGGATTGCATAAGTGAGTGAATTAACCCTGGCCCGGTAGCTCCTTACAAGTGAAGGCTAGGTTAGTCCATGAAGGACATAGCTACGTGATAGCCATCGGTTTCGTGTCGGAGGTAACAGGAGGATATAAGGTTGGCATATGATCATGTATATAAGTCCAGC